CTAAGATATCTGCTCCTATTGCATTATTTCTAAGATATCTGCTTCTACTGCATTATTTCTAAGATATCTGCTTCTATTGCATTACTAGCTCGATCCCCGTGCTTCGCTATGAAACTCTGTGGTGGGGCTTACTTTTTGTGGGGAGGAAAATAAGGGGGGGGGGAAATTCTGCCTCTGCCTACAAGCATCCATGGGTATTCATCTGACTAGCGTCTTGTCAGTGTGGGAGAGGGTGGAGGGCTGTTTGGAAACTGAAAGAGTATTTGCTGGGTGAGCAGGAAAGAGACAGCAAGGAGCCCGGGCGTGGCACAGCTCAACCGTTCTGTACTAAAGCTGCTTGGTGCTGTGAAATTGAAACTCCTCTGCTTGTGTTTTGCCTTTGGAAGAGATTTCTTTCCAGGTGGGGAGGGGGAGCAGAACCCCTTAGCATCAGAGCATGTTAATAACAACAACAATAATAATAATAGAGGAAATACTCTCAATGCTCAGAGGGTCATTTGGAAAAATCCTTTCTTAGGGAGCCCCTAGGAGCCGAGACGAACATAAGTGCCCAATTTCCAATTTTGTAGGCTTTACGGTCCTGGAGATTTTGTGATGATGCATGGGTGATATATATATATATATATATATATATATTTAGATATATATACATATATTTCTAACAGATCTGCTCGTGTCCTCAAGCAAACCTGCCCCCCGCCATTCCTGGATTTCTTTGTTCCTGACAGAGACCCCACCTGAATCCCCCCATCACCACCCCCACCAAAAGAAACTCTGCTCCCGATTCCTCTGTCAGAAGCCCCAGGCACATACTTCAGTGAGTTCCCGTCCTTCTGCCTCATCCTCTCTGGAAACGCCTTTCGGTGGCAGCTCGCCGAGGAATTTGAACCCGAACCCGGGGAGGATGCTGAAGAGCTCCGTCTGGGGAGGGAAGGGCAAGAATGAGGTGGGGGTGTGTGTGGGGGAGGGAGGTGGAGGGGACAGGAAGAAGAACCTGCCTGGCTTTTCCTTGGCAAGCACAAATCTTCCACTCACTCATAGGTAGTCCTTGACTTACGACCACCGTGGAGCCCAACGTTTCCATCAGTAAGTGAGACAGTTAAGCGAATGGGGCCCCGTTCGACAGCCACCGAATGAATCCCTGCAGCTGTTCGGTTAATAACGCGGTCCGGCCTCCCCGTCAACTTTGCGACACGGCGACCGTCGTAAACGCGAAGCGCTTGCCAAGACGCCGAGTTTCGATCACGTGAGCTTAGGGACGCTGCAACAGTCGTTAAGTGTGTTGAAACGGCTGTGAGACCCTTTTTTTTTTGGGTCGCTGTTATACGTCCGGACGTCACTAAAGGTTGCAAGTTGTATTACCATTGAAGGAGCTCAGGTTTTGCGTCCCCCACGCAACCTTGTAGACTGAGGGAGGTGTGTGTGTGTGTGTGTGTCCAACTTTGGCGGCTTTTAAGACCTGCAGACTTCGACTCCCAGAATTCCCCAGCCAGCACGGCCACCATCTTGCGTGCGGGGAAGGGGGGGGGTGCAAGCTGGAATGCTAGTCCTCATGGTTACAACTGAGGCGCTTCCAAGCAAGAGGGGTGGCGAATAAATTTAATAATTAAATAGTGAAGAAAATGCCATTCAGCCTCTGTCTCGGGAGGCCTTGCCCTTCGACCTCCTTCCCAAATGTCCAGATGGCATTTTATTTTTTTAATTTTTTTTAATGATATCGAGAAACTATTTATTTCAAGGGCATCTCAAGCAAATGATGGCCTTAAGCAATTAATCTCAGGGGCTATCATCTATTATAGATCTATGTTCCTATGCATAACCTACCTCTCCCTACTTTTCCTTCCTTCCTTTTCTTCTCCTTTTCTTTCCTCCTTCCTTCCTTCTCCTTCCTTCCTTTTCTTCTCCTTCCCATCTCATTCCTTCCTTCTTTCCTTTCCTTCTCCTTCCTTCTTCTCCTTTCCATCTTTCTTTCTTCTTTCCTTCCTTCCTTCTTCTTCCCCTTCCCATCCTTCTTTCTTCTTTCCTTTTCTTCTCCTTCCCATCTCCTTCCTTCCTTCTTTCCTTTTCTTCTCCTTCCTTCCTTCTTCTCCTTTCCAACCTTCTTTCTTCTTCCCTTCCTTCCTTTTCTTCCCCTTCCCATCCTTCTTTCTTCTTTCCTCCTTCCTTCCTTCCCATCTCTTTCCTTTCCATCTTCTTCCTTCTCTTTTCCTTTCCATCTCTCCTTCCTTTTCTTCTGCCCATCTCCTTCCTTCCTTCCTTCCTTCCTTCTCCTTCCTTCCTTCCTTTCCTTCCTAGCAACCTTCCTACCTATCATCTATCAGCCGGGAAGAACAGGTGCAAGGTGAAATTCCATTCCTTCCTCATACATTTAACAGCGAAGGATGAAAAGACGGTTTCCCTGCGTTTCCGGCCCCAGAACCAACCTTTGCGGCCTGTCGTGCCTTCGCTGTGGGTCAAAGCAGCCCTGCCCGGCCCCTCTCACCTTCTCCAGAAGCTGGCTTCCCCTCTTCCTATGGAGGACGGCGGCGGTTTGAGGAGTCCCCTCCCCACCCCACCCGCTCCTTGGTCCCGGCTGCAGGGCCACCACCAGGCAGGCCAGGGTCTTCAGTACATCCAGCTGGGCCGGCGGGTGCAAATCCCCGTGGACGAGGGCCACAATCCGGACAATTTTCAGCCCTGCGGAGGAAAGGAGGTTTTGGAGGAAACCCCAAGGCGGCTCGTTCCTTCAAGAGGTCTCAGGATTCCCTCAGACCCTGAGGAGATTCACTGGGAAGAGAGGAACAGAACCGGGCGGTGGCTGAAGTCCAAAAACTTGAGTTTCCTTGTGGAGTCAATTCTATCTGTCTGTCTGCCTTTAATCGATTATAATAGATCAATGTTCCTATGTATCTATGGAGCCTCGGTGGCGCAGTGGTTAGAGTGAAGTACTGCAAGCTGCAATTTGAACTGCAATTGGGCAGTTCGAATCCCCCCCAGGCTCAAGGTTGACTCAGCCTTCCATCCTTCCGAGGTGGGTAAAACGAGGACCCAAATAGTTTTGAGAGGGCTGTAAAGCACTATAAAGCAGTATATAAGTCTAACTGCTATTGCTATCGCTCTCTCTCTCCCTCCTCCCTTCCTCTCTCTCTCTCTATATATATACATACACACACACAGAGTATATCTATCTACCTCTTTCTTCCTTCCTTCTTACCTACCATCTATCTAAGAAACCTACCTACCTACCTACCTTATCTATCTATCTATCTATCTATCTATCATCTATCTATCTATCTATCTATCTATCTATCTATCTATCTATCTATCTATCTATCTATCTATCTATAGCACTTAGACTTATATACTGCTTCACAGTGCTTTACAGTCCTCTCTAAGCAGGTTTACATAGTCAGCCTCTTGCCCCCAACAATCTGGGTCCTCGTTTTACCCACCTCGGAAGGAGGGAAGGCTGAGTCAACCTTGAGTCAGTCAGGTTCGAACTGCTGGCAGTGGCAGAGAAAGAGAGAGAGAAAGGAAAGAGAAAGGAAGGAAAGAAGGAAGGAAGGAAGGAAGGAAGGAAGGAAGGAAGGAAGGAAGGAAGGAAGGAAGGAAGGAAGGAAGGAAGGCTGAGTCAATCTTGAGCCTGGTCAGATTCTAACTGCTGGCAGTGGGCAGAGAAAGAAAGAGAGAAAGGAAGAAGGAAGGAAGGAAGGAAGGAAGGAAGGAAGGAAGGAAGGAAGGAAGGCAGGCAGGCTGAGTCAATCTTGAGCCTGGTGAGATTCGAAGTGCTGGCAGTGGGCAGAGAAAGAAAGAAAGGAAAGAGAAAGGAAGGAAAGAAGGAAGAATGGAAGGAAGGAAAGAAGGAAGGAAGGCTGAGTCAATCTTGAGCCTGGGGGAGATTCGAACTGCCAAACTGCAGGCAGTCAACAGCCTGCCGTACTGCTTCCAAACCACTGTTCCCCCGAGGCTCAACCTCCCCCATTCTTCCCTCCCCACGCGCCCCTTTTCACTCACCAGCCACGTTCGCTCTCCTGGGCAGCTGTGCCAGCACCTGGCAGACAGAGGGAAAGGGAAGGCGGAGGAGCAGCCAGCTGAGGGAGTCCAGCACAAGCGTGATGGGTCCCCGTGAGGTGGGAGCCAGGCGGGACGCCAATTCCGAAGCAGAGAATACCTGCAGGGTCAGGCCGTTGCCCTTCCCGGACCAGCCCAGGGGATCGGGGAAAGCGTCGTGGAACAATATCCTGCAAGGAAGGAAGCGCATTATAGGCAGTCCACACACCCAAACCCGAATTCCTGCTTGCTAAGCGAGACGTGCGTGAAGTATTTGACTCGTTTTACGACCTCTCTGGCCACGTTGTTAAGCGAGGCAGGGCTGAAAGTATCAGGAGGCTATGAGGATGCTAAAAAAACAGCCATAAAACCTGGTCACGAGTCCATTTTTTTTCCAGTGCTCAACAGTCACTCAGGAAATGGCTGTCAACCAATAAAGTAGAATATTCGTTGCTCGGGGTTGAAAGAAAGGAGTCCTCGGTGGCCTCTGAGCTTGGTTGCTTCCTTGCAGACATTTCACGACCCAACTGTTATTGTATACCTTGCTGGCTGTGTCCTGCACACCGAACCACAAAGTAAGTGACCCACACAAATCCCATAAAGCTGAGCGGAGGAAGCACAGCTCGACATCAGCGAGAGCCAGAGGTCTTTTTGCAAATGTTACAGCCAAAGTTTATAGTGTTAAGTCTAAATTTTGGACTGGCTCACAGAGGGCAGCCAAGAAAGCCAATGCAATCCTAAATTGCATTAACAGAGGGATACAATCCAGGTGAAGCGGGGTACTAACACCACTCCATAAGGCCTTAGTAAGACGGGAGGGCAGAACCGACGCCACAGCGGTATGACCTGCGATCTTGAGGCTCCAAGATAGCTGCCAATACTTCCGCTGTCAGACCGTCCCACCGGACTTAAACCATCCCGTAGAGACGGTGATAGAGAAGGGCGCATCCTGTCGATCCCAGGGGCATCGCAACGTCCCTGGTAGAGCCAGGAGAAGCCCCCTTTTTCCCCGCGGTGGAGAGGCAGCCATTCAAACTGCTGAAGCTGGGACAGCTCCGGAACGGACGAGATCTGGAAAGTATGCGTGTCAGTTTGGTGAGACGAACTTCTGCTTATTATTTTTTGAAGACAACGCCCTAAAAGACTTTAAGTGAAATTAAAAGTGGAGATAAAAGTGAGGATAAAAGAGGTTAAGAGGCGAGATTAAGCTAAATTTAAATGGTTTTTTTTTTTCCTTTTTATTGGAACTTGGGATTTGGTTAAAGCTTCACAATTTTAAACCGGACTGGTCTTTTTCTCTAATTTTTTTACTTTTTATATAAAGTCTCTTTTAACTAGGACTCTTCTTTTCCTTTTAGCTTTTTCATTTGAGGTTTTTTTTTTCCCTAAAACCTTTTTCTTTTTATCTATTCCCGTCTTTGGATATATGAGGGGAAGTGAAAGTGTAAGTAACACTGCCATCTATAGGCTTGGATATATTGGGGTTTTTTTTTTCTTCCTCCTTTTTATTTGTTTATGCATTTGTGTTACATTCAAGGACTCCGAGCCCTTTTACTGAAAAGATAGCGGGATGAGCATGGTAGATTGTTTATACAGGTGCTCTTATCTGAAACTACTGAGTCTGGAGTTGAAGTTGAAAGGAAGAAAGACTGAAGTGACCTTGAAAGTAGAACTGTAAATTCTGATTTAATTAACCAAAGAGCCTTGGACATTTAAGCGGCCGTGGCTTGCTCCCAATTAGAATTGTTTGTTATCCTTTATTTTATTTTTTACTACCCCGCCGGCTGAATTTTTATGTTTGAACTTTAGCCTTTTGATCCAGGAAATAGAATATATTTTTCCTCCTTTCCTTTTCTTTGGCTCTACCTTTTTTTTTATTAAGGGGAGTACATAGACCTCTATTTTTTAATATTTAATTTTGTTTTTTCTAATCTTTTCTATTTTTTTTTCACCCTCTCTTCCTTTTACATTTTTCTTTTCTCTTTTTTATATAACTGGAACCAATTGGATTAAAGTATACAAGCGCCTGAAGATTCTTCCTTTTTTTTCTTTTTCTCTTTTTATTTTTTATTGGGGTGGCAGTTGTCTGCCCTTGCCTCTTATTCCTTCTTTTTTTTAAATCAAGTATTACAAGATGAGTATAAAAATAGCAGCTTCAGCTTCTTCGATACCGACATCTTCCTCTGGAGGACAACGATCAATACAGATGATATCGCAACAGGAGAAATAGAAGGAAGTGACACCGAAGATGATTGTGCAAGGAATCCAAAATATACGAGCAAAAACAGACCACACTGAAAAGAGAACGGGGAATATTGAGCAAAGAACAGAAAAGACAGATGAGAAAGTTGAGAATATCCAACAGATGATGATGAAACGTGAGGACAAATTCAAGAAAATTGAAGAACAAGATATACAAAGAGATAAGAAAATTGGAGATGTTGATAATCGATTGAGTGACGTTGAAAGAGACAGGAGCAGATCTTTGGGATGGAAAATAGACAGGTCAGAATTCTATCTTAGATTTCAAAATATAGAAGAAGAAAAGGGTGAAAACCTTGCTGAAATAATGACAGAAATCCTGGCAGAAGTGTTAGAGATAACTAAAGAGAAGATGATGGATGGAATGGATGAAGTGTTCTATGTCTATACAAGATATGCAATGAGAAATAAATTACCAAGAGAAGAGCACATTAGATTTACAAAGAAACTATCAAAACACAGATACTCCAGGTGGCAAGAGAGAAAACGCTAAAGTACTGTATAAAGACAAGTAAATTGTGGTACTGAAACAAGTACCAAGAAGAGTGAGAGAGATGAGAATACTTATTTCTGACTAAAGAATTACTTAAGAGAGGAGTAAATTACAGATGCTTAATACCAGAAGGTCTCATGTTCACCTGGCAGGAACAAAGGCACAGAATTGACACAGTTGAAAAAGCTGAGCTATTCTATCTAGAATATTTTAGAGGAAAGGAGGAAGATACAAGAAAAGAAGAGTCACTAATCGGATTTTAAGCGGAGTGTATAACAGCAACTGAAAAAGAAGAAGGAGAAGTAGGTGGTGTACCCAGGGAGCAATGAGAACCAAGATCTAGTAGAGCAACAAATCCTTCTTATAATAAAGTCTAAAATGGATGAGAGAAAATTGATCACAATTAATATAAATAGACTTAATTTAGCCACTAAAAGAAGAAATGTATTCTATAAACTAGAGAAATTAAAAGTTTGATATAATCTGAAGTACATATTAAAAACAACAACATTGTAGCATATATTGAAGCAACAAAAACTACTTACATCATTGACACAGTGTAAAAAAAAAGGTGTGGCCTTATACATTAGAGATACAATCCCTGCGGAACAAATTTATACAGATGATGATGGAAGGATTTTGATGGTGGAGATAATGGACAATAACGTAAAAACACTCTTAATAGCAATATATATAACAGCAAGATGCAGTACACTGAAGGAGGATAACTATCTTAAACTTAAACAACAGGTTGCGACAGATTCAATAAAATGGGAAAGCCTGCAATTATCATTGATTGGGAGAATATCTACAATTAAGATGAATGTATTGCCTAGAATTTTATATTTATTCCAGACAATTCCAATCAGATTAGGGAAAGAGTTTTGTGAAGATCTAAATAAAATAGTGTTAAAATACATTTGGCAGGGAAAGAAAGGGAGAATAAAACTTTAACTATTACAAGATGCAAGAATAAGACGAGGATTCGCTTTGCCCAATTGGGAATTATATTATCAGGCGACAAATTTGATGTGAGTAAAGGAATGGATAACATTAAGGAACTGTAGATTATTGACCCTAGAAGGACACGACTTGCTGTTGGGATGGCATGTTTTCCTTTGGTATAAGGGAACTAAAACACAAGGATATGTTAGAAGACATTATATTTGCGAGGCATTGTTTTTAAACTGGGAGAAAATAAAAAAGCAAAATTACTTAAAAATTCCATTATGGATATCTATTACTGAAGCTTTTTCTTATCCAATAACATATAAAAAGGAACAAACAGATATGGTGAGATACTGAATGAAAAGGGTGAACTTAAATCTATGCAAGCGCTGGAAGAACAAGGTATAAAAATGAATTGGTTTTCATATGTACCAATACAATCTAGATTTGATAAAGATCTTAAAACAGAAGGTTTCTATGATAAGTTAACTGATTTAGATAAAATTTTGATGAGTACTGATGAAAAGGTAATTAAAAAACTCTGCGGACATTTATTAGAATTTAAATTAGAGGAAGAACAAGTTAAAGAAACGATGATTGCTTGGGGAAAAAAATTCGGATATTGGTATTGATTTAGAGAAATGGCAAAAATTGTGGTCCCAAAATTATAAAATGACAATGTCAACTGCTTATAAAGAAAATTTGTATATTTTACAGGTGGCATCTACCCCACCCCCCCCACGAGAATTGCCAGAATGATTAAGAACAAATTGGATAAACGTTGGAAATGTCATCAGATACCTGGTTCATATTACCATATGTGGTGGACATGTTTGGACACAAAAAGATATTGGACTAAAATCCACACTTGGTTGGAAAAAATGATAAAACAACACATAGACTTTAAACCAGATATATTTTTATTGGGAATCATACCGGAAATAAACAACAAAGAATTGAAATATTTGATTGTAAATGTTTTAACAGCGGCTAGAATTGTATTTGCTAAGAGCTGGAAAAATGAAAAAATACCTTGGCAGGAGGAAGTTATTAAGAAAATTATGGACTGTGCTGAAATGAGTAAATTGATATTTGAAATTAGAGAACAAGAAGATAAACAATTTTATATGATATGGGATTTATTTTACCAATGGCTAGATAAAAAGACATGGCAATGAAATAGACTAAGTTTTGTAATAGACGATCAATAGATTGATATAGAATATAATATAAAATATATAACCATTGGATAAATGTACAATATAAATTTGTAAGAAAATCTAGAATATCTCATATAAAATGATGGAATAATAGTTTAGTCAAATTACTGATAAATATATAAGCATATACTAGATTGACAATTTGAGAACCTACATAACTTGTAAGGACTATGAAAGAATAGCACAAAAGATCTGTAACCAACTGACAGAGTGTATGTATATAATTGGAAGATGGTTTTATTTTTATGTATTTGTTTGTATATGTTTGTCTTAAAAAATAAAAATAATAATACAAAAAACCTTAGTAAGGCCACACCTAGAGTACTGCATCCAGTTTTGTTCACCACATTATAAAAAAGTTGTTGAGACTCTAGAAAAAGTGCAGAGAAGAGCAACCAGGATGATGAGGGGACTGGAGACTAAAATATATGATGAGCGGTTGCAGGAACTGGGCCTGGCTAGTCTAGGGAAGAGAAGGACCAGGGGAGACAGGATGGCACTGCTCCAATATTTGAGGGGCTGCCACAGAGAGGAGGAAGGGGGTCAAGCTATTTTCCAAGGCATCCGAAGGCCAGACAAAGAATAATGGATGGAAACTGAACAAGGAGAGATTCAACCTGGAAATAAGGAGGAATTTTCTGACAGAACAATCAACCCATGGATTGGTTGCCTTCAGAAATGGTGGGAGCTTCATCCCTGGAGGCTTCCAAGAAGAGACTGGACTGCCCTCTTGTCAGAAATGGTATAGGGTCTCCTGCTTGGACGGGGGGTTGGACTAGATGATCTACAAAGTCCCTTCCAACTCTGTTCATCTGCTCTCAAATCTTTCTCACATACAAGCACACACAAACATATACTTACTGGGAGGTCACTTCAGTGCTCAGCCCATCCTTAAATTCCAATTCTGGGAGGTCAAAGCTGAGAACGTGGATGGACTCTGCCCTAGAGAGAGAAAAAAAATTAAGGTGTGGTTACAATAGAATACCTTTATCGTCACTGCATTCAAAATACAATGAAATTTGAAGCCTACTCGATGGAGGGCCCTCCAAGCACCACATCACAATCACACTACACAGTATTTAAAAATTAAAATAATTAGTGATAATAGTAATAATTAAAAACTTAGTCTAAAACCTATTTAAAACATATATTAAGTTAGATAGTTTAAAAATGCCACTTTATACACAGGACTAAATCACAAACGTACTGTGTGATTCAAGGCAATTATTGCCTTGGGAAAGAAACTCTTTCTCAGTCTATTAGTCCTCATTTTAAGACACCTATAATGTCTCCCTGATGGTAACAGTTCAAAATATGAATGACCAGATGAGAACGGTCTGTGGAGATTTTTAGTGCTCTAGAGAGGAGTCTGGTCTTCGCAATCTCTTCCAAAGAGGAAAGAGAGCAACTGATGATTTTTTTATGCTGTGTTTATAACTCTCTGGAGCATCTTCTTATCCACTGCAGAGCATCTGGCGTACCACACCGTTACACAGTATGCCAAAATACTCTCAATGGTAGAACAGTAAAAAGTAACCAGCCACTTCCCACCCAGACCGCTCTTTTTCAGCAGCCTCAGAAAATGTAGGCGCTGTTGGGCCTTCTTTGCAGGGGCCATAGTGTGGACCGACCAAGTAAGGTTGTTGGAAATATGAGTTCCTAGAAATTTAAAACTATGAACTCTTTCCACACAGTCTCCATTGATATATGGTGGGAGAGGCTCTGCTTTGCATCGTCCGAAGTCTATAATCAATTCTTTGGTCTTTTTGATGTTCAGGGCGAGGTTATGACTCTTGCACCACAAGACCAGTCTGAGAACCTCTGACCTATAGGCCGTTTCGTCTCCTCCTGATACGAGTCCCAACAATGTGGTGTCGTCTGCAAATTTTATTATAGAGTTAATGGAACAAGAGGGAGCGCAGTGGTAGGTGTAGAGTGAATACAAAAGGGGGCTCAGCACACAACCCTGTGGAGAGCCAGTGCTGAGGGCAAGAGTGGAGGAAAAATAGCTGTCAATCCTAACAGTCTGGGGTCTGTTAGTAAGAAAGTCCCAGCAACCAAATGTAGGTTAGTCCGCTCTATTGTGTTCCCCATAGCAACCTCTGGTTGTGAAAGCTAGACCTTAAAAAAGGCAAATGGGAAGAAAAAACCACTCATTTGAACTGGGGGTGGTCCCTATATTGTCCTCGGACAAACAACTACTGGAACTATAGGTCCCTCGAAGGCAAAATCACTGGAGAAAGCAATTGTGGTGCCAACCATTGACAATTGGGGCACCTTCCTTGGCTACTGGGCATTTTAATTCGTACATCTGTACAACGAGGTGTAGCCAATGGGGGACAAAACTGTTGAGGTTCGCCAGCAGCCTGTGCGTACGGCAGCGGAATCAGAGAGTGGGGAAGAACAGGGACCAGCCCAGGAGTCTGAGGGGGGACTCAGACGAGGGTCCTGCGTCCGATGCAGGGATGGGGCCAGGACCATCTAGGAGTGGGGTGCTGCCTCCGGAATCTGGCAGCAGCAAGGCAGAGGAACAGAGGAAGCCCGTTCCCAGTGTGCGCATGCGCAGAGCTGCTAGAAGGCGAGAGCAGCTGAGACAAAAGGGGTGACTCAGGAGTAAGGCTGGGAGGTTATTGCCCCTCCCATAAGGGATAAAAGTCAGGCTTCAATGACAAAACCTATGCAGGAAGCAAGGTCGTTTGCTCTGTTCTGATTAATCCATGAAGCTCTGTGTGGACTTTGTACTTTGGTTGGGTTTTTCTCTTTACAGTTCATTTGGCACTTTAGCTGTTGGCAGCAATTCAAAGGAGAGAAAGGTGGGTGCTTATCTCGAGGGACTGTTTGGGACTCATTATGGGCTGGCAATGAACATAATTCCCAGCTGCTGAAATAAAACAAGAGTTGTTTGGATGAAGCGTATGCTTCATTATGGTCTCAGGAAGCATCGGTCAGAACAGAAACTTCCTATGTTCTCCCAAAGCTACCTCTGGTTGTGAAATTGGACCTTAGAAAAAGTAAGACGGGAAGAAAATCAGGTCCTTTTGAGCCGGGGTGCTGGAGTAGGCACCTGTGTGTTCCTTGGACAGGTGACTCCCAGCTATTGGCAGCTGGCATCAAGCATAGGAGGTCGTTTAGGCAAGCCCAATGGGTGGCATATACATCCGATACAGCGATAAATTGAAAGCCTCTGGGAGTCTCCCACTCACCGCTGGACGGCAGCTGTGATGAAGCTCTTCAGCAGGGAGCGGCCTTCGCAAGCAACTGAATCTGCCAGAAGGAAAAAGCAAAGTTGGGTCTTTTGGGTTGAGTCTCCTGGTTCAGTTTTTAAGAGTCATTTTTGATAATATTTCAATCCCGTGTTCTTTAAACCTATTTTTTAACCTGTCCTATAACCTGCGAGTTGCTCAGAGTCACCTTGTAAGGGAGACGGGTGGCATAAAACGTTGCAATATTAATAATGAAATAAAACAAAAAACCCAGGAGGGACACAGACTGGTCAGCCAAAGCATCTCTCTTGACCACTCACGAAGAGCTGCTTCCTCCTGGGCACTCTCTGCCTTCCTCGGCTGGCGCTCCCATTGGAAGCGTGTGTGTGTGTGTGGGTGTGTGTGTGGGTGTGTGTAGAGGATGGGATGCCACTAGGAGATCCCTCCATGTGATAGATCAGTAAAAGATAACCTATGGGAGGATGGGGGGCCACCAGGTGATTTCCCCCACACGCAGATCCCCTGAAGGGGATGGGAGGCCACCAGGTGATCCCCTTCATACAACAGACCACTGGGAGATCTCGAAAGGGATGGAAGCCCATCAAGGAGATCCTCTGCACGCAATAAGACCACCAGAACCCCTGCAGGAGGTATTGGGGGCACCAGGAGACACCCCCCTTGCATGTGATAGGCCACTGTGCAGGGGATGGGAGGCCAGCAGGAGATCCCCAGAAAGGGATGGGAGGCCACCTGGTGATCCCCTGCATGCAACAGGCCACCAGGAGATGCCCTGAAGGGGATGGAAGCCCATCAGGAGATCCCCTGCAGGAGGGATGGGGGACCACGAGGAGATCCCACAGCTCCAAGCTAGACGCCACTAGCAATCCCCGCCCCTCCCTCCCCACCAGCTGTCCCATAAAGGGGGCGCCCCTCCGCCGTAGCTTGCGAGGAGGGAGGGAAAGCCTCGGCCTCGAGAGCCGCCCCTCCCCGACCAGCCCCTCACCCTGGATGAGGAGCAGCCCCTCGGCGGCCCCGGACAGCAGCGCCTCCAGCATCCCCTTCGCGGCTCTACCGCCTCCTCGGGACTTGGCTCCAAGCGGCCGTCGCCCGCGCGCCCTGGTGACGTCACCGCGTCACGAGGGGAGGAAAAAAAAACAGCTGCGTGTGGAAAGGCCGCAACGCATCTTCGCCTCTGAGGCCATAGGTGGCTAACGGAGCGCCTGATTGGAAAAAAAAAAAAGCCGGGGGAACCCCCCCCCCCCCCTCCCATGGGTCTCCCTTCGAGCCTTTTGCATTTTTCTCTTCAAAATAGAGTTGTGGGAGGGCAGAAGCGAAACACGACTGAAAGCCGCTTTAGAATGCATCTCCACACACACACACACACACACACACACACCCCTCGCTGGACCCAGAGAAGCCACTACAAAGCCCATGGTGCACGCGCCCGGTAGAAGCGCCAGGCGGCCACGGGCCTCCCTGTCATATCCCACGGGGCGGACACAAGCCCCGCAAAGAAGACCCCAGGCGACCCAGCGGCGAGAGAAGGGGTTGCAAATCGCCTCGTTCGTCAAACGCGACGCCGTTGCTAAGCTGAGCGAGCCTGTTGTTAGGGACGGCCGTCAAGCGCGGCGTTATTAGAAAGCGGTTGTCGAGCGAAGATACTGCTAGGGTGAGAAGCAGGTCGTCAAGCGCAGCCCGGTTGATAGGCAGGGAGGCCGGTGGTCAAGCAAGGCCGTCAAGCGCGCGGCCAGTCGTGAAACACGGCCGCCGAAAGCAGCCCCCCGTTGCTAGGCAGAGCGGCCGGTCGCCAAGCGCTCCGTCGTTGCTAGGCAGTCCGGCGCGGCCGCTCCGCGCGCGGCGTCGTTTCTAGGCAGAGCCGGCGGGTCGTCAAGCGCGGCCGTCGCGCGCGCCCGGGCGCCCTCCTGCCGCCAAGCGGGGCGGCGGCGCCATGCCCCACTGCCGTAAAGCGCGGCCGGGCGCCCTGCTGCTGCGGGGGCCTGGTCGGGGCGGGATGCTGGGCGGCGGCGGGGCCGGCGGGGCGGCCGGGGGGGCCTCTCCGCTGCCGCTGCTGCACCCGCGGACGGGCCGGCTGGTGACGGTGTCGCGGGGCGGGCGGAGCGCCGCCCGCTCGCAGCCCGGCCAGGAGTTCAACCACGGGCTGGTGCTGAGCCGGGAGCCCCTCGCCCCCGGGGCCCTCTTCACCGTCCGAATCGATCGGAAGGTGACGGAGGGGGGAGGAGGAGGGCAGGGGAGGGGTCTCC